AGCAGTGCCTATGATAAGAGATTTACCACTCATTTTAATACTTATCCACATTTGCTCCACCATAGGACAAACAGGATGCTCAATAATTCGCGTAGTTACGCCCTGCCTCAAATAAAAACCTACCCCCCCCCCCCACCGCGTGCACGGACTTCGGCAGGTCGGGGAATGTGTCGCAGTCGGTAACCTGGGACTGATGGCGCACGCCCTTCCTCACCCTCCCGAAGCCATGTTTCATTGATGGCCATTATGTCCACTGAATGACGCGCCATGGCAACCAAGAATTCATCGTGTTTGGTGCCAAGAGATCCAGGATTTAGTACACCAATTTTTAATTTATTTAACTAACCATTTTTACTAAAATTGTATATTTTTGCAACGATATAGATAATTAATTCATTATAATACGTGTACAAAACTTGATTATGATTCCGTACAATAAGTGTTAAAATTATAACTTTATAAGGTACATGACTGCTTAAAACGAATAACGTAATAACTATAGTTAAAAAACGGACATGGATGATAACGAACGAGACTATATTATTACTTGAAACGCTGCAGCACTGGTCTAGGCAAGCAAAAGACCTAGGAAATAACTTAAATTTATCGAAAACAATAAAACAACAAAATAACACTAATTTGTCTAAAACAATAAAATAATAAAATAACTTAAATTTATCTAAAACAATAAAACAATAAAAAACCTTAAACCTATCTAAAACAATAATTGTAGTTAATGCTATAAATATAATATTTCTATAAATGTAAGAGGGTTTTTTCCATTTCCATCTCCTACTTTTTAAACAATAAAAATAGTAATCAAGGATGATTATGTGTGAAAGCTTTAGTTCAATAGTGTTAAAATAAATCCAATAAATATTAGCCAAATTACTTTTAAGGCGACACAGCAATGAACACTTTAATATATGCTTCCAACGTATTACGCTCCAAAAGTCTTTGCTATGTCAAGGTCGGTGCGAATCCGGTGACGAGATGTGTTCGAATCGCGGCGTGCAAAAATGCATCCATCCCGCGTCCATACATACCGCCATCCCTTACGCCTCCCTTCCTCCCGTGCCTTGTAGAATAATTGCTTATTAATAGGAGTGAGGCGCTCATTTACATAAAACCGGCTCGTCTCAACACCTATGTTTAGTCCACCGGTATCGGCACCGCGTCGCACGCGCGCCGCACGTATCAGTTGATCTCGAATCGCTCGCCGAGTAAGTCGCACAACTAAAGGACGTGGTCTAGGCTTATCGAAGCCGCTTTCGTCTTCGCGACGCATTACTCCTACACGCCTCACACTTACAACATCGCGCTCGTCCAGCTCAACGCCGATCTTAGTGGCTAGAACTGTCACAACATGCAGGGAATTTTCGCCCTTCAGTTCCGCTACTCCGGATATTTCAATGTCATTGAGTAATAAATCTTAATCCCGCTCATTTAGGCGACACTTGAGTTCAGTTAATGTGTCTTCCAATTTGGAGTCTGTTGTCTGAGGTTGTGGATCCGCCGCGCGCTGTTCAAGATGTATAACCCTTTTTTCAATATCGCCGACTCTATTGTTTAGCTCATCTACATTGGAACTTATTTTTGATATAACTTCTCGAAATGATATTATCTCACGGGCGATTGTAGTTAACTGCTCGCGTATTAATTTTATTTCACTTGCCAAGTTTATGTTATCATCACAGCTCCCTCTGTCGCTAGTGCCCGGTACTACTTCGCCGAGCTCAGTATCTGTGCCACGTGTGTGAGCTAAGCGAGCCAGGCGTAGCGCTCACACCTGCTTCACTTGGACTCCCCGCCTTACATCACTGACATTGCCATTTATTTAATTTACGGGCATCGTTTTTAAGATTAACGCATTGCCGATGGAACATATTCAAACAATTAGAGCACTTTGCACCGTCCATTGTGGAGGTGAATCTTCCACAGACACCACACTTATTCGCCATTCTTATCTATACTTATCGGGCAGTGTAGGTAAACAGTACTAAATATCGCTAAGAGATGTCACTGTAACTAGTTTGATTTAAAAGCTTGTTTAGAAGATTTAACTTATGTCAGTTTTATTCATATATTTATAATACGCACTTCCTATTATATGTAATATAGTTTCAAGCACTTATATTAAGTTGTACTCACTATACAGAAGCAATCCAAGGACTAACAGCTGATCTTACAATCAGCTGATACGCTGTCAGTTGATTTACACTTAAAAAAGTTATTTCTACCACTATAACATTGAACCATACACTGAATCACGTCACACTACTGAATTGTTTATAATATACGTATTCAATTAGTAATAATAACCGTATTTAAATAAAAAATTCTTTTAACATAAGAGACGAAGCGTTTGACAGCCGACCGTGCTACCCTCCTATTACCTGATGATGAAAGGAGTATTCAAATATCCCTTTCAATAGGAAAGAACTAGAACACTCGCGATTAAAATGTATGTCGAGGGAAAAAGGCTTTTTTACGTGAACATAAGGTTGCGTTTTTATCAATTGGTCATGGTTGCATCAATTGGCGTGATCGTTATCTTTTCTTACAACTTGTATCAACTTGAAAGGGGACATTGACCCTTATAATTCAAGAACATTATCATACAACGTAATAAAACACGAAATAACTGGCTGTTATAACAGTACAAGGAAGCATTACTTTAACGAAATCATGAGATATGACGAAATAATAGAATAAAAAAGAATAATTTTTATTCAATATAGATTACAAGAGTACTTATTGAAAGTCATTTATGTTTTACCATTGGTTCCAAAAAACCTCTGGGAAGAATCAGCAAGAAACCCAACGGCACTTTTTTTTAAACAATAATGTACAACATAACATTTTATACAATTAATTATCCATAAATAAACAGTTTTTACTCAATAAAAATTTTAAATTTCTTGATGTCTTGCATATTTTCTCGCACTTAGTTATAAAAGCGTACATAATAAATCACTCGTTTTTACTAGAGCATTTGCAAAATATATATGTAAATCTTTAGTAACTAGCTTGATAAAGAGTTATACATCTTATATAAAAAATTGCCATACCGTGCATCAGATTGCGGTAAAAGTTTGTCAACATATTGCTTGTACTTACGCGAAGGTTATAGGCATAGTTGGGCCCGGTAGGTGGCGCTGTTGTAGAATTCAGATATCACCCCGAAGCCGGGGCAGATTGCTAGTAATTTAAAAACATTTATGTTTGTTCGTATTTTATGCGCTGCCATACCGTGCATCAGATTGCGGTAAAACTTTGTCAACATATTGCTTGTACTTACGCGAAGGTTATAGGCATAGTTGGACCCGGTAGGTGGCGCTGTTGTAGAATTCAGATATCACCCCGAAGCCGGGGCAGATTGCTAGTAATTTAAAAACATAATGTTTGTTTGTACGTATTTTATGCACGGCCATACCGTGCATCAGATTGCGCTAAAACGTTGTCTACTTAATGCTTGCACTTTCGCGAAGATTATAGGCATAGTTGGACCCGGTAGGTGGCGCTGTTGTAGAATTCAGATATCACCCCGAAGCCGGGGCAGATTGCTAGTAATTTAAAAACATTTATGTTTGTTTGTTCGTATTTTATGCGCTGCCATACCGTTCATCAGATTGCGGTAAAAGTTTGTCAACATATTGCTTGTACTTACGCGAAGGTTATAGGGATAGTTGGACCCGGTAGGTGGCGCTGTTGTAGAATCCAGATGTCACACCGAAGCCGGGGCAGATCGCTAGTAATATATAAACATTTATGTTTGTTTGTTCGTATTTTATGCGTTGCCATACCGTTCATCAGATTGCGGTAAAACTTTGTCAACATAGTGCTTGTACTTACGTGATGGTTATAGGGATAGTTGAACCCGGTAGGTGGCGCTGTTGTAGAATCCAGATGTCACACCGAAGCCGGGGCAGATCGCTAGTAATATATAAACATTTATGTTTGTTTGTTCGTATTTTATGCGTTGCCATACCGTTCATCAGATTGCGGTAAAACTTTGTCAACATAGTGCTTGTACTTACGCGAAGGTTATAGGGATAGTTGAACCCGGTAGGTGGCGCTGTTGTAGAATCCAGATGTCACCCCGAAGCCGGGGCAGATTGCTATAGTCCGTTTGCGTTAAGAAAATAGTGAGTCATCAGTGCAACTACAGGGTAAAGGCGTATTCACAGTGGAGTAAAAATTCTTTTTTTTTTCAAACATTTAATTGAGTTTAATGGAAACAAATTTTCTTAAAATTACTTAAATCACTAATCAGTATCGCAAGATTCTCCAGTTACATTAATTATGAAAGAATTTTGTTCTGCAAGTTTCATAACATTTGTCTAGTTCATCTAATTTATCGACCGTCGATAGTCGAGCTCTTTTTTCACGGGTGATTTTAATGTATTAGTATCCTTTTGTTCTTTAATAATTTTATAAACAGTATTTTCGGACACACCACATGCACTTGCTGTTTTTATTACTGTGCTTTCCACAGTCGCATTTAAATCACACAGTTTAAAGTACTTATAAACATTGTAAATTAAGTGTCTCTCTCCACTTTTATTCTTTCGAATAGGTGAGGTATTCATTTTCAAAATTTAATGTTGAACGAGTAACACGCAAAATACACAACCGTTATGTTCGAAGGCCTGACTTCAACTGGTCACTGTGAACTCGACTTTCTAATTTCTTGCATTTTAATTGGCTGGAGGGCGTGGCCAGGCCGGCGGACAACGATGACTCACTATTTTCTTAACGCGAACGGACTATAGATATATAAATATTTATGTTTGTTTGTTCGTATTTTATGTGCTGCCATACCGTTCATCAGATTGCGGTATAAGTTTGTCAACATAGTGCTTGTACTTACGCGAAGGTTATAGTGATAGCTGGACCAGGGAGGTGGCGCCGTTGTAGAATCCAGATGTCACCCGGGCGAAGCCGGGGCAGATCGCTAGTATGATACATGAAAAGAATACGCAAACAACACCACTTACCAAACACCTTAAAGCAATCCGTAGTGGCTTTATGTGACCCGAGGCTTGACCGGTGGCAATGACCAGTGATTCCAAAGCTAGCATTAAATCAGCACCTTCAACTGGAAGACTCTCCTCATAGCTGTAACCAAAAGAACAAAGATATTATTTTTTAAAATAATGCAACTGCACTTTGCATGCTTATGCATGAGTATGCAGTCCATACACTGCATGCTCATTTGTCACCTTTACTTGTATACTATTACCATTACAGCCTATTAAAGTCCACTGCTGAGCATAGGCTTCCACCATAGATTGTCTCTAAGGGATATTTGTCATAGTAACCACGCTTGGCAAGCAGGTCGTTATTAAGAACACGTCGCTGCCCATTTCCTGATTTGTACCTAACTTGTATAAAAAAGGATAATACTGGTATAGTTCATAAAAGATAGCTTGATTTCTGCGACAGCTGTCAGTAAAATCACGCCTATGAAGTCCTGAATTTTTTGGTAGTACAGACAGTACCTGTCAATGTCATACTTTATGGGCATGCACTAATCAGGTCGGCATGACAGCTCGGTCGGCATGGCTGACAGCTGTCGATTGTTGATTACCGATCTTTTGATTTGGTTGTATTTTTAGGTCAAGAACTGACCACAAATTACCGTTACGTTTAAATACGGTAACCGCTCAGCTTAATTTCTTCAGAGCTTCTATTTATTAATTATGTACACACACAAGCACGTGAGTGAGTGAGTGAGTGAGTGTATATTTTTCTTCATCAGTAAATATGTAAGTAACAGTCCTTGCGATTTTAGTTCCATTGTTCTAACAATTCATTTGTTGGACTTACAAATGACAAAGGACAATGGCGAAAAAATGTTGAAAAAATTATTAAGCATCTACTTATCACCACAATGATGATGATACTTATCACCATAACAAATATAAATAAAATAACTTAAAATAACTTACTACATTTTATCTAATCAAGCTTATGGCCTATCGAAGTCTGGAAAAAAGTATCATACATTATTTAAAACTAAATTGACTAGTTGTTGTAGCAAATTGTTGATGGAATTATTAAGCGTCTACTTATGTCATCATTACAGATATCAATAAAATAATTTACTATGTATTATTTAACCAAGCTTATGGCCTATCGAAGTCTGGAAAAAAATCATCATACATAATTGAAAATTAAATTGGCTAGTTATTGTAGTTGTTACAATTCGCCAACTAAGACGGGCTAAAGTCTTATACGATACAGTCAAGTCTGATTTTTTTAGAGATAAGGGGGGCAAGCGAGCATGCGGCTCACCTGATGGAAAGTGACTACTGCCGCCCGTGAATAACTGCAATACCAGGGGAATTTCAGATGCGTTGCCAGCCTTTTACAAAGGAATAAGCTCTTTTCTTAAAGGTCTCTAAATCGTATAGGTGTGGAAAAATCGCCGATGGTAAACGATTCCACGGAGGAGTCGTACGAGGAAGAAAACCCTAGTAAAACGTACAGTGGTGGACCACCAGATGGTGTGAATGGTATCGTGAGTTAAGTCGCGACGTGCGTTCATGAAATTTGGCGGCTGGAATTAAACCGAACAATTTCTCAGAACATTCGAGCCGCTCTGCGCTGGATGCGGTCTGGAGCTGGTACTGGGGAGCTCCACCCCAGAGATGGGAAGAGTATTCCATGTGCGGCCGAACCTGCACCTTGTAAAGTTGCAGGCGGTGTGCCGGCATGAAATACTGTCCCGCTCTGCTGAGCACGCCAAGCTTTTTTAGAAGCCAACTTGGTCTTCTCTTCCAAGTGACCACGAAACTGCACGTCACTCGATATGTCGACACCGAGGATTACGATACTGGCTGAGGTAACAAGGGGAGTGCCTTGAAACTGAGGATATACAACAAAGGGGTTCTTTTTAGCGGTTAACGCACAAAATTGTGTCTTCTGAGGGTTAAACTGGACTAGATTTAGTCGCTCCCAATCCGAGACTCTGTTCAGCAAAGACTCGACTTCAGACACAAGTTTGTCCCGGTACTCGGAGACGTTTTCCCGAGAAATATTGCCACGGCCGGTGTACAGAGCATCATCAGTGCTGTCATCTGCATAGCAATGAATGTTACGATATATGAATATATAATGAATGTTGGCGATAGCACGCAGCCTTGTGGAACACCAGCATTAATAGGCTTGTAATCAGAGCTAGACGGTGCACGTCTACAACGACCTTGATGCTTCGATCTGCAAGAAAGCTGGTGATCCAATTGCATAATTTCTCGGGAAGCCCATAGGAAGGGAGCTTCAAAAGAAGCGCTTTGTGCCAAACCCGATCGAAGGTCTTCGCAATGTCCAAATTAACGGCCAATGCCTCCCCATTGGACTCTACTGCCTGCGCCCATCTATGATTTAGGTAGACCAGAAGACCACCAGCTGATCGACCACGGCGAAAACCGTATTGGCGATCACTAATCAGCTGGTGATCCTCAGGGTACCTCATGAGCTAGCAGTTTACAATGGACTCCATTGTTTTGGAGAACAAGGAGGTGATGGCGATAGGCTGCTAGTTGGACGGGTCTTAGCGGTCGCCTTTTTAGGGATCAAGTGAACGAAAGTCGTCTTCCATGATTTTGGAACTACGCCTAGGGTGTAGGAGTACCGGAATAGACGCGTTAGGATCGGTGCCAACTCAGGAGCACACGTCCTTAGCACAATTGGGGGGATTCCGTCAGGGCCACTCGGCTTGTGGATGTCCAGGGAGGGGAGTGCTTTGCGAACCGAGCGCTGTGTGAACTGTACTTCCGGCATGGAGCACTCACACCGCGGGATGGTCGGCGGCGTACTCCCTCCATCATCGAGAGTCGAGTTGGACGCAAAGAAAAAGCCTAGCAGATCGGCTTTCTCTTTTGCGGTATGGGCCAGTGAGTCGTCCTCCTTGTGCAGAGATGGAAGAGATGACTGACAGAAATTCCCCTGGACAGGCTTGGCGAGAGACCAGAATGCAGGAGTTCTAGAAGGATGGAGAACTAGTTTCTCGCCAATTCTGCCTATGTGCTCTAACTTTGCCTTGGCAATGACTCTTTTGAAGGACCTGGAGGCGGAATTATACTTCTTTTTTTAGAACGCTGGTGTTTACATCCCGGGACGTTGATACGTCAGCCCAGGCTTGGTTGGCACTCCTGCTTATAGCATGATGCTATTTTACAGGAGCGACCAAACCAAGGCTGAGATTTGCCTCCGATGGACACCACATAGGAAGGAATTACAAGTTCCATACCCTGAAGTACCACATCAGCGAAAGAATCAGCAACAACGTTGGGATCGTCCGGCGAGAAGCAAACCCGTCCCCAAGGGTAGGATGCAACGAAAGACCGCATCCTATCCCAATCGGCTGACCTATAGTGCCAACCACGGCGGCAGCCTGCGAAATGCAATTGCGATTTCAGCGTGAGTGGTACCACACTCCGGACAAGACAATGGTCCGAGGAGCCTAAAGGGGCGTTGACGGAAATCTGATATAAGTCCGGGTGAGAGGTCAGCAGAAAGTCCAACAGGGAAGGTGCATGATCCTCCACATCTGGAATCCGCGTAGGCGAAGTAAACAGTTGTGTCAGACCACATGCAATGCCAATGTGTCGTTGTCTACGCGTAGCCAAAGGATGGACAGGTCCGTACCTTCAAGACTGCCGAGGCGGGGAGAGGACACCTGCGTCGCGGTCAAAAAGAGCAAGGCCGGCTTCGCTGTCTCCAGATGGCAGTGGACGATTTTTAGGTTTGAGTGGAGCCCCCTGATGTTGCAGAAATTCACGGATAGCGTGGCTGGGATGGGCGTGGGTGGCGGTTGTCTTTTTGCTCAGTTTGTCCCGAGCGAGTAGAATTTAAAGCAGCATACGCTTGGCAGCCTGAACACCCACGCTTACGAGTGGAGTAGCTTGGTTTTGGATGCTCAACGCTGCCGCGTGACTCTACCACTGTTAAATGTAGTGTATATTTTATACACAAAACTCTTCTCTTCTTCTTTACCCTAGTAATTACTCTATATAAGCATAAGTAAGACTAGTTACTGTTGTTGTAACAATTCACCAATGAAGGCAGGCAAAGATCTTATAACATACAACCTAGTCTGATGTGAATTTTGTTCAAAGTTGAATATCTTTAATTCCTGACTTACTGAAGTAGTATGACTGAAGAAAAAAAAATTCACTCTATATTTTGACATATTTTTTTTTAATTTGTTTGGGAGTTCGCCATGGTTCTTTGGTCCTTGAGCCGGATCCGAATCAGCGACCAATGGATTACTTTAATCGACACGCTCGGTAGGCGGAATAGTAATCCCAGCAGAAGAAGTCTCGCAGATTTTTTATGTTAATATTATTTTTATTTATTTACTATGTACATCATTGGTGAGGACTTTCTTATCACAGAGTTTTGGTTTTTAGCACTACATGTTTTACCCACTGCATTATAAATCTGTTATTTTGAACGTTTCTCTCACTATAGGGGAGATTTGCCTTCATCGTCATACTTAGCAAGTGAATATGCGATCCAATCATAAGAAGTTTCGCATCGTTGACGCTGTTCTCCGTCGCAAATTTGGGTATTTTAATTCTGGCATAAACATCTAGGTATCTATCGGGGGCCGCAAGATTTGGCTGGCCCTTTCAACGGGACGAGACTTCATCACGATTAGTGATGAATATAAAAATGAGAATAGAATAGAACAATTATTATTGAATATAGATTACAAGAATACTTATTAAAAGTCACACGCGGTAAGGGGGTTAAGCTTTATCGCCAGTCTGGAAAAACTCAGTTCTGGAAAGAACCAGCAAGAGACTACTCAGGATTAAAAAAAATATTTTACAATAATATTTTATTGGATTCATCCATCAACGTCCTTTAACATATCATAATCCTGAAAAAACAGAATCAGGTTACCAGTGCACGACAACGCGGGTGAGGACGTCCGCTGCGGTGGCGGCATGCCGCAGGTCTGCGCTGAGCGTGGCGTCGAAGCAGTAGCTGCGCAGCGTGCCCGCGCCCGCGCCCGCGCACACAGCGCCGCACCGCACCAGCATCTGCGGACACCCCGCGTCAACACACAGCGGACTGAACTGTCAAAGTGACGCTACACGAGCCTAGCTTAAGACGCAAATTACTTCCCGAAGGATATCCAGTAATCCCCGAGTTTAAAGGGTTGGTTAAAAATAGCAGCATAATATAACTGATTTGTGTTGTGTGTAGCAGACACTTTACAGGTAATGAGGCATACCACCTTATCCTCCTGTGGTGACAACACATCAACATTACGATTCTTAATTAAGAATAGATATGGTTATCTTTTGTTTACAGTATTTAATTACTATCCATCTCCAATTGCGTTCGGAGTGGAGATCCTGAGATCCTTTAACTACGCCAATGGTACGACGAACAGTGGGGTTTTAGTTGGTATGAGTCAAGAATAACCTCTTTGTTGCTCCCACAACGGAAGATATCCAAAAGATTTAACTATGTTAAAAAAGTGTATAGTAACAATCTTGGGTATTAATACAAAATATCGGAATATCATACGGATTGGGTTTTCCTGACTAACCAGACTTCCTTGGATCTTAATTATAGATTAAATATTAAGATACGTATTTTTTATTGCATTTCTTATAACAAAAAAATACAAAGGTAGAACCTAATGCCTTGAGGCATTTTTTACCAGTTAACCCATATGCCATAACCATTATACATAATGATTGCAGTGAGTATGTCCAAATATTTTTAGACTAGGCCATATTCCATCTTGCTTGTAGCATGAGACCTTTGCATTGGTAAAGTTATTGACCAGCAAAGAATTTAGGTTATATATCGCTGTTTGAATGTGACCGGGGCCTCCTACAGGTAAAACTGTAACTTGATGAAAAAGTTATTATATTATTTTCCTGACACGTTGAAATATACATATGCTCTGACATTGCTTTCTCCTTACCTGCATTACTTGTAAGCACAGCATAGTATGCTCTGCATCCTGACTGTCACTCGCGGCCCGCACTAAATGCTGGATACATTCAGCGGGCCACAAAGCAGCATGCTCTGCCAACTTCTTAAGCCCGAGGAGAGCAGCCCTCCTAACCGCTGAACGGGCATCTTTCATAGCTATGCTTAGTAGAAGTTCCACCTTAAAAATGAAGGAAAGTTTAAATAAATACATACTCGGTTGTAAGACTTTTTTTCTGCCTAGCAATTTGTTTAGGTAGATAGGGTATAGAAAGCCAGTGTAACTACATGCTGTGAGGCATTCCATCTTAGTCCTCATAGTTGACATCACACCTGTAACATTGTTTGTTTGAAGTAGGTTGCAGGTGTCCATTGATTACAATAATCACTCAGGTGGACTGTAAGTTCGTTTTTTTATAGGAGAGTGGCAAACGAGCATACGGCTCACCTGATGGTAAGTGATTACCGCCGCCCATGAACACTGCAACACCAGGGGAATCGCAGATGCGTTGCCGGCCTTTTAAGAAGGAGTAGACTCTTTTCTTGAAGGTCCCTAAGTTGTATCGGTCCAGAAAAATCTCTAGTGGCAGTCGATTCCACAAGCAAGTTGTGCGAGGAAGAAAAGTTCTTTTAAATTGCACAGTGGTGGACAGCCAGTCATCCAGATGGTATGGATGGTATCGCGAGTTTTGTCGCGATGTGCGATGGTGAAACTGTGCGGCAGGAATTAGTCCTAACAATTCCTCAGAGCACTTCCCGTGTTAGATGCGATAAAATACGCAGAGATGCAACATCACTTTGCAGTGCCAGTGAGCTTAATAGAGTTTGTCGCTTTAGTTTTATAAAAAATCAATATTTATAAATAGTTGAAATACTTGTGCCTTATTTGATATAAGGCAGTTGTCACATCACATTTATCACATTTCTAAAAATAATGCCATAACAGAAAATAATATTACAGAGGCATTTTATGATAATCTGGGTGTTCCCCATCACTTCGTCTGCATGGAATATGTTAGGTTTTGGTTTTGTGGGTTTTGAGTTTTTGCACGGAACCCTAATTAAGTTTTTAAAATAAAAGTAGTCTACGTTTTTCATTATAACATCATCTATTTACCAGTGAAAGTCTTGTCGAAATTGGTCCACTCTTTTCAGATTAGTAGAAACATAAAGACGGAGACAAAAATTTTAAAAATTGTTTTTTTCTTATAAGTACAGTATATATTTTCATATGCATTTTGAATAAAAAGCTGTTATTTTGACATTATCAACAGACACTTCTATGTTGTTTATTTGTGTAGATGAAACAACTTCATCATTACAGCCCTTCACAAGTCCACTGCTGAACATAGGATGAAACAACTTGCAATACGCTATTATCTGTATAACAGGAACATTTCTTAATGCTTTACAATTGAGTGTATTAAGTGAAAAGGGCATGCAACATTATTTCTAATGAGGGATGATGAAACTTACCTGATCAGGGACATGCACAACAGTGTCAGCTGCAATAGCTGTCAGAGCTGTAATGGCTGCTCTGACAGAACTTGATGAAGGAAACTTTTCCAGCAAAGATCGCAGCAACTTTAAGACGCCTTGAGCTCTCACAGCTGTAAAGCAATTTGTTAAGATTTGTTATTAATACCTTTGTTATTAAATTTTATTTGTTATTAAAACCTTTTTCCATCTTATAACTAGTAGAAAAGTAAATATAGTATTGGTGTAGTAATGTGTAATAACAAAATATTCTCACCGCCTCCATGTACAGTTCTTAGGGCTCTAACAAGCTTTGCCCTTCTCTCTGCTGCTGTACTCTCACATTCCACCATATCGGACAGTTTGTTGCACATTGCTACTGCAAAGGCACTAAATTAAAAAAAAACCTAATTAGTTTTGAATGTAAAGGGAACACATCAAATAAATTTAAGAATTAGAATTGAGATATTAGAATTTAATAAAAATATAATGAAATGTAATAAAAGAACTTATCCTATATTATTAGTTATCAAAAAATTTATAGATTCTAGGTATTATTTAGTCTTAAAATTGAAATTTTGTAACTGCTTTAATGAATAAATTTCTTAGGGCCAAAATTTGGGAAAGTAAATAAAAAAGGGCATAAAAAATATCTTTAAATATTACTTTGAATGTGCGGCAAATCTTGTTGTTGCATATATTGCAGCATCAACTTCAACATTATCATGGCTCTCAAGTCCTCTTCGTATCGCGTGGTGTACATTTTGCCTCTCTGGGATAATACCAGCAACAGCACCCAAGGTCCTAAGTGCCAAAGCTCTTGCTACAGGGTCGTTTGAATGTAGAACACTAAAAACCCTACGTAAAAACTCATCTACGTTTAAAATCTTGTCTAAATGCTTCTCGCTTTGTTGGCAGACGCGCAAAACCCAAAGTCTTAAAAAGTTGTTACCCATACGAAAAACATCTGCTAATTTCAAAAAGGATGAATTAATAAGAATAGGAAATGGATATTTTTCGAACAAACGAGGGAAACGAACGATTGCTTCACATTGTTCGCCTACTTTTCCAGATCGTAGACCTGTAAAAACATTGTTTTTAGAAAATTATAAACAGTTCTATTCGCAAAAATTTAAGGTTATTAAATAATAATGAATTTTATTAATTATATTTAAATACCTTTATCCAGCTCTGTCAAGGCGGAATTAGCATCTTGTTCTGGTTCTCCAGAATTATCATTAAATGTATTTGATCTAACTCCGATCATGTTTTAAATTCAAAATTTCAAAAGATAAACATAAAACAAATTTTATGACAGTTGCTTGATGACAGTGACAGTTGACAACTGAGCAACAGTTAGAGGTGGCGATGCAAACCGTATATTGATATCAAATCTATATATTGGTATAATATCTAAAAACCAGTTATTGGTTCGTTCCAAAACTATGTGTTACAAAACCTGATATTTGCGTACCGCCGCGATGACAATATCGCTTCGAAACGGTCGGTCGCCAGATTCGTTCCATAACTATATATTATACAAAATCTGATATACCGCCGCGTACCTATATCGCTTCGCATCGGTCGGTCTTTTTTTTGTGGTATCCGGGCTAGATTCGCAGTGTGCGACAGTGCGCGAGTATATGGGTATTAGATTAGACATGTCGGAAAATTAAAAACTTATATTTGTACACTACACTAAATAATAAAAACACAATTTCATTAAATCTTAATTAAATTCCCTAGTATGTATTTTTCCAACTTTTTAAATAAAAATTTTGATAAAAATGTAAAATAAATAATATTAAACTGACGCGCTTCGTTAAAATTACTATATATATATAGTAATTTTAACAAAAAATATATATATATATATACAATTCCTGAGCCAATATCGTAACAACAAAGTACATAAAGTTTAACATCAACCACTAATTACGTCAAAAGCGTTTTCAACACCTTTAAGTATAGCAAATAATTGTTACAATCCTTATTTTTAGACATGTGAAACCTAAATTTTAATGAAATAAATCAAAAGAATACATCGTTGTATTGATGTTTAAAAAAAATACTTTTTTTGGAAAACTGATTTGTAAACCGCCATCTACTCCATTCTAGTCATTTTATCGAATTAAAATTGATTAGCTCTCTAGGTGGTACGTAAAGATGACGCTAGATGGCATAAATACGGCTAAGTAAGAAGTCAATTGTGGATGATCTTGAATCACACACATATACGATTTCAACAGCGAATTGGAGTAGAAAATAGAATACGCAGAATATATAGATATTGAAATATATAGTTTTGACATCATATATTGAAACTCGAAATCTGATATAGATACGATTCTCAGAAAATGCGATACGACCCAGGCCTACAGTTTACTATGGTTTTGTATGTTCCGAAATACAACTCAGTACACTGGCAAATAGATTTTACCTTGATTTTATTTTTTTTTTTTTTTTGCGTGGTTTTTTTTGGTTTTATCCTTTTTTCCTTTTTTTACCTTTTTTTTTTTTTTTTTTAAAAAAAATGCAAATGACGTCATCAATTGACACTATATTGTACTGGCGTGTCGCCGCCATATTGCGTCTGATATCCGGCCGCAATAAAACAATTTTTAATTGTGTGTGCGCTGAATGAAGCATGCCAGAATTTATTTTTATTTATTCAAATACAAAAAAATTATAGAATAATTGCTGGTATCTTCATTAGGAAGATAAAATGATTTTTGGAGCACAAAATGACAAAATAATCGCCAACACTTTTCCAATATGGCGTAAATGTATGACGTCATATACTGTCCTATGTTTTGGAACGAATCACCAGTATAGCGTCGATTCATGACGTTATTCGCATTCGACAGTATACTGGGTTGTGTTTCGGAACATACTCTATACTCTTTGGTTGCTATCAGTGCTGCTATCAGCTATCATGAACTGAAAAGAAAAGATGACTGAAAGTTACGTTGGCATATAGGAAAGATACAGTTTGAAAGAAACTGTTACGTGTTAAGTGTAAATTAAATCATCAAATCAAATCAAATTAGTCACAATTACAAAAAAAAATCGAAAAATGCAAGATTTTTTTGAAATAGAATAAGGATGACAAACGAGCACACAGTCCACCTGATGGGAAGTGGATGCTGCGGTCCTTGGTCATCTACATTTATCTTCAGTTAAGCATCAAAATGATATGTGTGAGATGTGTTGCCATTTGTTTCCAGTAAAAAGGGTCTCTAGTTTTCTACACTTACCATAAGAAACACAGCAGCATTAAGCTGCTATTGTACGCTGGTATTCTGTGAGAGTGTGGTCCTACTCTAGTTGAGCCAACCTATTCATGCTGCAACAATAATCTGCAGCATAGCTCTATCACGTAATTTTTTTTATTTTATGCTATATTTATAGTGAAAGTAGAATGATTATATGATTTTTTACTTAACGAATAAAACTTATTTTACTCTTGGTTTAACTAACTGAGTTAACACCTTCGATTTGCTGACGGTACAATCCTAATGACAGAATCGCTGGAGGACCTAAGCACTATGCTTAATGACCTCAATAGTGCCTCTAACGGATAGGTTTTAAAATGAACATGGATAAAACATAGATCCCCTCGTGTGTCCAAACGCCATATTCTGGCGTCTTAAATAAAATGCGCATATGTCAAACGCCATAATATGGCGTCGAGTGATAGCAAACTATTTGTAATTATATATATATATATATATTTTTATATATATATATATATATATATATATATATATATATATATATATATATACATACATATTTATAACATATATATCTGTTATGCATAGCCTGATAGCTATTTAATAACGTTTCCATGGATATATGATTTTAATATACTCACTTAGTATATATATACATATACTTAGTATACTTGTTATATACTTAGTACTTCGGAAAGTACTCGACAGATGCGCCATATTGGCCAAAACGACCCCGACATTCGAGTGGATTGTGTAATGTCAGTGTAACACCTATGCTGGTAGTTCTTGGGAGCACTGAGCTCGAAGTTGTTGACGAGTACGTTTACCTGGGACAAGTAGTCCTACTAGGTAAGTCCACATTCATTCAACTGGGCTGGGGAGCGTTCAGGAAATTACGATACACCTTCTCGTCAGGTACACTTCAAAATCTGAAAACAAGATTTTAAAACCAGTGCGTGTTGTCAGTGATGACTTATGGATCTGAGACGTGGTCCTTCACTGCTAGCCATATAAAGACGCTCAAAGGCAATCAGCGAGCTATGGAGAGGGCTGTGCTCGGGGTTTCTCTGCATGATAAACTTAGAAATGAGGATATCCGGCAGGGAACCAGAGTGACCGACATAGCCCAACGGATTGGTAAGCTGAAGTGGCAATGAGCAGGCCATATAGCTCGAAGAACCGACAACCGATGAGGAATTTGTTTTTCGAGTGGCAGCCTCGTACCAGTAGGCTTAGTGTAGGGTGACCCCCTCGACATTCGACCCACTAGATGCAGTGACCACCTGGTAAGACATTCTAGAAGTCGATGGTTGCAGGTGGCTCAGGAACGTGCTTTGTGGCATTCTTTGGGGGAGGCCTATGATCAGCAGTGGAGCTGTGAAGGGCTGTAATAATAATGATGATAATGAGGGTTAACTGTGACATCGGAACGTCAAACACCTTGGTATCCCCGTTTCGAGTGCTTTGCCGTTTGTTATGCACTGAAACATTGGGCCTGTAAAATAAAGATAAGTAAAATTAAACGCGATAAAATCATGTAAATATAAGAAATCATAATACATATATAATTTACTATATCTGCTTACCTATTTATATTTTTTACGTAACTGTAAAAAATAAATCTAAATATCTAAAGCGGTAGTTTTATAAATACTTAGATTGTGGGAAAATAATTTTAATTAGGAAAAAATATTACTTTTTAAGCAATTACACAAATGTGCTTAAGATTTTATTTTACATACAAGGGTTGATAAAAATTACATAAAATGTATCAAAACTTGTTGGCAACTCTGCGAGCAAAGAGACAAAGAGTTTTTTATTTATTTTAAGGTAAAAAGGTATCTATGCCAATACAGCCTAGTCTGATGGGTGTTGTTCCGAGACTATAATAACATAGAGATATTATAATATTATTAACTTAACTTAACGCAACGGACGATGTGGGCTAATAATCTTCCGCTCACCAGATATCGCTAGATGACACTGAGGTGAAGTTTTTTGTTACACTATGTCATTTAATTGAAAAGTTAGTTTTAAATAAAAGTTTACTAATTTCTAGAGTACGCAAAACAATGCCCTACTGACTGAATCTTTAATTTTTTGCATATTTTTATCTCTTTTTTATTTTTTTCTACTTTTATGGATATCTGTGATTTGGTTCATTTATTTTTAATCTAATTAATATAAAATATAACTACTAGCATAGAAACATACATTAATCTTAAAATTTTCGGACAAATTAACCTCCTCGCTATGATTTCTGTCAAATATTACACCTCAATTTTAAATGGCGCCGTTCTGGTGGCAAAAAAGTGGTGGATCATATCATTGACGACGCAATTATATCAAGGTGTCTTAGTAAAATTCAGTTCATGCCCTTATTACATATAGTAGGCAAAGTAGAGAATGAGCTGTAAGCTGTATTCTGAATTTTGCAAACATTAGCACACACGGTGTGATGGAAAACTACGTATGAAATACAGATTTTCCATATATTAGACATGTGCAATATGTAAATGCTAGTGCCAAAAGCTTGCGATATTATGAACGATGGACGATGGAAATGATATATTATATCTATATATAAAAATAAATTAGACCTAATTTTATTTCCGATCTCTTTTAATTCCATTCAATAGGATTTCAGTTGGAAAGAGGCAATAAGGTTTGCTTGCAGTTATTTGCGTCGAAAAACGTGCGAGAAAACAAAACAATTCGGGTTATTGGAAATGTAAAATAAATACTTTAAATACTTGTAATTTTGACAGTGATAACCATTGAGCTAATATGTACTACGTACTAGAGGCGACACTGCATTCAGCTACTATGTTCCATTCAACTGCGGTCCATACACCGCATTTTAATCAGTCACTCGCTAGGCGCTTGTAGAGTTGACACGTGTTGTGTTGATTTAAAAAAAATCTCGTGATAAAAATATGCCGTCGTGCGTACTTAGATATCGCACAAATAATTCAAGAAATGCCAGTAAAAACCAAGGAATTACTTTTCATTGGTTAATAAGATACTTAAT